GTTTTCAGCTGCATATTTCACTACCTATAGCAGGACAGTGCCTCTTTCTGCAGGAAACATGCGCAGTAGAACCAAGTGACAGTGGTGCAGAAGTAATAGGAGCAGCAGATACTGACACACAAGACTAGAGCCTCTCACAGCTGTCAGTGTGAACATTTGTATGTATAAATCACACTGGAGTGTAAGTCGCAGGACCACCTAAACCATGAAAAAAGTGCAACTTATAGTCCGAAAAACTACTTGGTTTATGACAGTGGAAACCACAAAGCATAGAATGTCATTTGTTGTACGTCTTTTTTGTTCATCTTGTTTTTAGACAATAAAAGGGTATGAAGTTACCTATGCACCTTCTGTTAATGAAAAACACTGTGTTGTTGTGTCAGCGTAATTTTCTCCACTTAATTTGACTTGTATCATGCTGAAGCAGGTTTGTAGACCTCACCAAACCTGTTGGTGTGTGTGCAATGACCTCTGGGTAGTTGTCAAGACGCCAGCTCTCCGAAAGTTAAATATTGTCTCAACGCGATATGGGGCTCAGTCAGAGATGGCTCCCAAGCGCCGTGTTTATTCTGCAACAGACCAAAAAAGACCAGTTAGTTTTGTGAATAAAGGGTTAAGACACGACTATATTTGGTACTTTTTCCACAGCTCGTAAAGAAAGTGTTTTTCTTGCTCTGTCAGCCGCAGAGCGCTTTCAGCAGACTGTAAAGTGGCTGACGTCTACTTAACAGATATCCATAATGTTTAAAAGGCTAACAAGACATGTCAGGAGCCAGGTTTTCAGGAAAACGGGACTAAACCAGAACCTTTTGTTCACACTGCAGCTACGTTTGGACTAAAACCAAGACTTAAATAGATCCAAGAAATATCGTGATATCGTATCATCAAAGTTCTCACAATAATATCGTGGACCATCACAATATATCGAATTACAAGTCTCTTTGCTTAAATTATGAGTTATGGTGCAGCAGTAACTAAAAAAAGACAGAGGGAACTACATAGACCATGATCCTTTCAATGTCAGTGCAGACTATAAGAAGAAATAAGTTCTAAGCACTTTTAAGTCTTAGTTCTTTGGATTAAATCCTGTCAAGGCATTTTAAAAGGAAAAAGTAGAATATTAAGTTTTGAATATGTACATGTACAAGTCAAAATAAAGTAGAAAAATATGTAATAAAAAATCTCAGCTGTATATAATAAACCTTTCTTCAGTAAAGATTGCCAATTCCAGGGCTGAAGTTATCTAAATGATTCTTGTGACGTTGTATGGAGTTTAAAAACACAGTGGAGCACTTCCTGTATTACCACATGACATCACAAGGAGGAACGTTGTTTTCATTTTAAGAAAATTTTGTCAGCCTCCACAAAATGTCGCAATAAATATCGTACCATGAGATTTGGATATTGTTACATCCTTAATCGTGAGCTTTCCCACGATATCACAAAAAATATCGTACGGTGAGGTTCATACTGTGACGATATCGTATCGCGAGACTTGGATATCGTTACGCCCCTAATGATGATAATTAAAAAGCTTTTATTTGTACACGGCCAGAGATTTAAAGCAGTGGTTCTCAAAGTTCTCAAAGAAAGAAACCTCAACTTTGATCATTTCTTGAATATTTCCATTTTTTATGATCTACAATCCCAAATTTTCAATGACTTTTACGGAAATAATGACAACAATAATTAAGTAAGGACTATGAGAAACGAACATTTCATTAAAATTTGCTCATGAACTTCTGAAATTTATTGGTACGCCAATGTAGAGAACGAGTCCTTGGGATATTATCTTTATACCCCTGTCCAAAACACAAAGGGTTTGGATCTAAACCATGACTGAACAATAAGTATTAACGAAATATAAACTGGAGCTTGAATCATTTGTGGAAAATATCAAATTGTGGTTTTTCAGACGAGCATTTGGGATTGTTATTAGATTTGCGATTTATCTTTAGTTTTAATAATAGGATTCTGTTCAAAGTTCATATTTTAAAAATGTCCAGAAGAATTGGAAAAAAGACTGAACAATAACAAATAAATGAAATATATTTCAGGTAATGTACAGATCTAAACTACAGGGTTAACCAGGGCTAAATCAGGACTAAACTGGGACTAAACCAGGGCTAAACCAGAAACCAGGACTAAACTTCAAAACCAGGGCTATACCAGGACTAAACCAGGACTAAACTTCAAAATCAGGACTAGACCAGGACTAGACCAGGACTAAACTTCTAAACCAAGACTAGATAAGTTCACATTTTAAAAACCAGGACTAAACCAGGACTAAACTTCAAAACCAGGACTAAACCAGGACTAAACCACAACTGAACCACGACTAAACTTCTAAACCAAGACTAGATAAGTTCACATTTTAGAAGTGTCTAGAAGAAAAAAGACTAAACAATAACTAATAAATGAATTATATTTCAGGTAATGTACAGATCTAAATTACAGGACTAAACCAGGACTAAACCAGGACTAAACCAGGACTAAACCATGACTAAACCATGACTAAACCATGACTAAACCACGACTAAACCACGACTAAACCACGACTAGACCACGACTAGACAAGGACTAAACTTCTAAACCAAGACTAGACAAGTTCACATTTTAAAAGCTCCCAGAAGAACTGACAAAAAAGACTGAACAATAACTAATTATATTTCAGGTAATATACAGATCTAAACTACAGGACTAAACCAGGACTAAACTGTAACTAAACCAGGTCTGAACTTTTAATCCAAGACTAGACAAGTTAACATTTTAAAAGTGTACAGATTCAGGACATGTACAGATCTAAAGTACAGGGTTAGTTTTTGATTTAATTTTACACCATAGGGACTTGAGTTTTGTCTCAACAAAGAAGGCAGGTCGACATGAATTGAGTGTGTGCTACAGATTTACATCAGTGTGATAAATGCCCATCCACAAAGACTAAACAAATTATCAAAATTAAAACTAGCTGTGATTAAATGAATCTCAGTAAATATTCAAGGGGAGGTAGAACTGTGTAATTAATGAGCTCTATGATCAATCCTCAGTCTGTAAATGCATGTGGTTTGGAAAAAAGAGGATTCAGTTGGACTAGTTACTGAGATAAATGGCCATAATTAAAAATAAAATTAACCAAATGGTCCTAAATCAATAGAAGAGAAAATGATAATACTTTTTTTCTGCAGATAATCTATCCATCTTGGGCTATTACAGTGTTCTAGACCAGGTTCATATTTTGTGGACTACGTGGGAGTAGCTCAAATGGCGCTGATCTGGACGTGCTGTTGTTGTGTCCTTGGGCAACGCACTTCCCCCACTTTTGAATGTGCTCTGAAAGTGATTGAGTTGTGTGTTATCAGTGAGGTTGTTTGTGCAGATGGACTTTTGTCACAAGGGCCGGAAGTGCCGCGTTGCTTCCGGTTGGCAAAATATCTGTGGAAATGTCTGGCGTATTTTCCACCAGCTTCATAGATCTGCCCCATCGTCAAAATCTTCAACCAACAAGGTCGACAAAGAATATATTCTGTCCATGAAGAATTTATCCACAACTATCAAGACGAAAATGTAAAGGCGAACAACAACGACGCATTAGTGAACTATTCCTGAGCAAAACTAATCTTATGGTCATGAATAAAACATAAGTAATAAGTCATTCGTTAATAAGTAACTTGTGAACTCAGACCGAATCTATAATTAAAGTAAAAAATCGATTTCATGATATTGAGAGATTTGTGCAGTTCAAATGGTACAGATGTTCAAAGATTAAATGTCTCGCATTTAAACTGCAAAAAAGCTCTGTCGATGTGAATATCTACATCATGAAATCGATTTTTATTTTTAATTGTAGAATCAGTCTGAGTTCACAAGTTATGAATGTTTTATTTATGACCATAATGTTAGTTTTGCTCAGTCGTTGTTCGCCTTTACGTTTTCGTCTTTCTTAATGGATACATTTTTCATGGACAGAATTTGTCCTTTGTCAATCTTGTTGGCTGAAGATTTGTTGATGGGGTAGATTTATGAAGCTGGTGGGAAATGCACAAGACATTTCCACAGATATTTAGTCCATAGAAAAGCATTAACATACCTACATCTCAGCACTTCCAGCCGTTGTGAAAAATGTCTGTTGGGAGAAATTGGTGTATCGTATTTTCGTTTTCTTATTTTTGGCTTTATTTTGAAAAATGAATGAACAAATAACTGTTTTCTTCATTATTTGTCTCCAAAACCAAAATGAAAAAACTGATAACAATTCATTTTTTTTAAATTTTTTTATTTTGTGTTTAAATGAATAATGGAAAAAGCGGGTAACAGCCGTTTCCCGTTTCTGTGACTTAAACTGCGATGCCGGACTTACAGACTGAACCAGGACTGAATCAGAACTAAAACAGGGCTAAACTAGGACTAAATCATTTTCAGTCCTGGTCTGGTCCTGGTCTCAATCCCGGTCTAGTTCCGGTCTGGTCCCAGTCTCAGTCCCGGCCTCAGTCCCGGTCCTGGTCTGGTCCCAGACTCGGTCGTGGTCTGGTTCCGGTCTAAGTCCTGGTCTCAGTCCCAGTCTGGTTCTTGTCTGGTCCTGGACCTAGGTCATTCCTGCTTCCGTCCGTATGCGGCAAAAAGTCCCGCATCATAGTTTAAGTCAAGGAAATGGGAAATGGTCTTTCTATTTTTTTCATTATTCATTTAAACACAAAATCGAAAACTGAAAAAATGAGTCGTTATCCGTTTTTTCATTTTGGTTTTGGAGACAAATTATGAAGAAAATTGTTGTTTTTGTCGATTTCTTATTTTTGGTTTTATATTGAAAAACGAATGATGCACGGACTGGGAGAGGTTCTTAAAATGACTAAAAATAAAATAACCGAAAGTAAAGCAAGACCAGACTAGTCTTTCAAACATAGGACTAGTCAAAAATGTTAAGATTTGTGGGTTTTTTTTAGTATTTCCAAGGTCTTTCCGTTTTACCAATCGTCCTGACATGTATCTTTTGTCCACTACAGGAGCTGAGGAGGGACAAAAGAGGTCACCAATCCTCACACCGTGCTCGCAGACCCAGGAAGAGGAGTACGTGCGGTTGCCACAGCTACTATTTATACACTTTTTTTTCTTCCTTTTCACACAAGGCTGGTGGAAAATGTCCGCCAACGTGGAGTGACGAGAGACAGGATAAGGGAGCAACTAAACGGCCAACATCTCCGTGGTTTACTATGAACTGACATGGACGATTCCTGCTTTTTTTTTATTTTTTAGATTTTATTCATATTTCTGTAGAACCGGATAATGACACTATAAGAACCAGAATGTATTTATTATCTTTCTCTTGAGTCCACCTTTCTACCACAGAATCTTGCTGCTCTCCTCGCCGTCGTCATGAGGATCGATCCATAAACGGTGGCGTTCATGTTGGATTTTTTCTACCTTTCTTTCTCCTTTCTTTCTGGACTTCAGGCAGGCCATGTCCACACTGATGTTTTAAACCATTGAAGCTGTGTTTTTTTTTTTATAGCATCCACAATATATTTTGGTTAACGCGATCTCAAATCATGTTGGAATCACGTTCGGTTTACCGTTTCTTTGGCAATCATGAAGCCCAGCAACGTTTCAGAAAGAAGTTGCTTACCTTCCTTGAAAGTGTTGTCACCATACTTAAAATTCTATACGATTTTGATGCCACAATGATAAAAAAAAAACACATTTCAACACAAATCATCAAACTTTCGGTCTTATACTAGTTCTGCAAATCAAGATCACTCTCAAACTGTTCAGGAAAGGTCCAGTTTTGTCCTTTTTTATGCTTTTCTTCCTTCTTTCGGTGCTAGATTTTCTTATCTTTTGACAACCCTAGTCCACGATCAATGTGCAATGTAACAAGTATTTTGCCATCCTTAATAAAATAATTATTTATAGTATTTACAGCCTTCAGTCACGTGAGTTCTTCCTGCGTCCTTGCTTGCACTCCGCACGAAAATCGGGACTAAACCAGGACTGTAACAAACAAACAGGACCAAACCAAAGTCTACATCAGGACTAAACTTGGCTCAGACTGCGCTCGCAAAATACGAGATCAAATGTACAGAGTTATAGTTTGCTATAAAAAGCACAAAGCTCAACACTCCATTTGCTTGTGATTCATTTGAAGAAAGGGTACTTTGAAGACTTCTTTTAAAAGCACAAGAATCGTTATGATGAAGCAAGCCTACTTTACGAACTCTAATAAACCCCTAAATATGGCACTATTTTTCTGGCTGTTACCAAAGCTGGCTGCATCTAACTTTGCCAATATTTCTCCCCTCTTCTGATCCCCATTCCCGCTTCTTCTTCGGCTTCCCCCGACCTTTCCAAACGAGTGACAAACCTGTCCATTTTCCGCTTACGACTCATAACTCATAACTTTGACTCATCGATAGCACAACCACAAACTAGAACATGACTCACGGGTTTCAGGCAACGCAACCCCCCCAACTGCTAAGTCTGGAACAAATTTTGCAACATTTGGGATAGTTTGATGACTTTGATGGAAAATACCTCAATATAACATGTGGTCTCAGTGACACAACGGCAGAAAATGCATTATAAAAACAGTCTACTTCAGCTTTTTGGTTTAGGCTTAGGTCTTAGAATTAGTCACTATCCTGTTCTTAACTCAGCATATTACTATTCCTCAACATCGAAATATGACAATTAGGGTACGTTCAGACTGCAGCCTGAAGTGACCCAAATCCGATTTTTTTCGACCCTATGTGACCTGTATCTGATCTTTTAATGACAGTCTGAACGACACAGATCCGATTTTTTCAAATGTGACCCAGGCCACTTCGATATGTGCTCCTAAAACCGATACATATCCGATCTTTTGACATGCGACTTCAGTCTGAACGGCCAAAGCGCATCCATCCGACCTACACGTTATCAACAAGTCACAAATCTCACTATTCTGCGCTGAAGTAGGCGAAAATTATTAATGAACTCCGTGTCACTGAAGCGAAGCACATCACCACTCATCACTCTTGGCTACGTCTCCACATCCACACGTTCCTTTCAACGGACGTCGCTGCCGCTGTCCCACAAAACACCACGGCCAAAAACCTCGTCCTTCTACTTCTCAATCTCCTCCTTAAAACAAATAAGTTGTTCACGTTCTGGCTCTGGTACGAGAGGAACTTTAAAATCTCCATGTGCTCAATGCTCACGTCCATCTTTGTACAACTTCCGTAAACACAGAGCACGCTCGCTGCGGTTGACGTCGTCGTGTCTCCAGTGTCACATGTGGGACACTTTCGGGCCGTTTAATGTTCACACTGGAGTCACATACAAGTCGCATTTAATTGGAAATGTGAACGACCTCGCAAAAACATCGGATTTCACAAAAAAATCTGAATTGAGCGTTAAGCCCTGCAGTCTGAACGTAGCCTTAGTGTTTTTATTCTTAATTTAAAACATTTGCTTCTAGGTAGGGGTGGGCGAAATGGCCAAAAAATAATCAAGATTGTTTTGGAGCCAGCTCACAGTTTTGATTTTAGTTCATGTAAACGTCGGTGTCGTGTTATTGTGTTAACTAAAATAATCTGCTCACGCTTCTTTGTGATTGGTTAAATTCACCTGTCACTCACTCAGGGCACGCTGCGGCTGACCAATAGGAGGCGTGGACGGAAAAATTGGAATTTGATTGACAATTCGCTGTTTTAGCAAAATGGTGGTCAGTAATTTGAGTTTTCGTCGCATCTCGCCCACCCCTAAACTACTCATTTAAACGGCTTTCTGTAGTTTTTTCTGTCTTTCAAACTAATATTGTGGATGCTATCGGACTACACAGCAAAGTTCAGATTTCAAACCTGTTTTCGTGGACTTGTCTTCTGGATGTGTTGAGTGCGGCTGGACAAAGTCTTACCTTGAATCCTTCTGAAATGTGAACGTCTCCCATCACGGACAATACAAGTGACTGAGTGTTCATTCTTAAACATAATCTGTGGATATATTTAAAAAAAACAAGCTCCATCTTTTGACCATCTTCCATTTGTTTAGCTGTGTCTTGACATTTTGGTACCCCAGCGACCATTTTTACTTAGTTTCTTTAATTATTTAACTCACCTTTTAAGAAAAAAAGCACTTTATTCTGTACCTTGGTGGCCTGCTGTAATTGTTGAGAACACTAATTGCGAGAAACAGCCCTTGAATGGCAGAAGGGGTATTCAAAAGTTGTTGTGGTTTGACTATCCATTGCCTTGGAGATGAAAAAAAATGTTTTATTGTACATTTTTTCCTTAAAGGGGACGACACCATGAAGGTTGTGTACACTGTATTCTTGCATTTAAACACAAGGAATACATTTTAGCATTAACAATACAGCAGTGGTTTTCAAACTTGTCACACGAAGTAAATAACTATTTACAAATATTTGGCTTTTCAAGTGTTGTCAAGCAACCGAAAATAGCATTTCTTATTATATAAAAGTTAAACATGCTAAATCGAGATCAAACGTGTACAAGGATCGGACTAAAACTGAACCAGGTCTATGTGCTAAATCGGGATTAAAGTAGGACTAAGCCAGGAGTAAAACTGGACTAGACTTGTTGTATTTCGCTGACCCATTCTTCACACTTAATAAAAACTAACCCCACTGTAAATTAACTCCCATGGATTTATAATGCTTATATAAAAGTTAAACAAAATAAAATGCGTAATAAGATTGGACTAAAGCTGAATCAAGTCTATGTGCTAAATCTGGACTAAAGTAGGACTAGACCAGGACTAAAACTGGACTAGATTTGTTGTATTTCACTGAACCATTCTTCAGACTTAATCAAGACTAACCCCGATTATACTACTTTAAAAGAACTCCCATGTAATTATAATGCTTATATAAATGTTAAAAGAAATAAAATGCGTACTAGGATTGCACTAAAGCTGAACCAGGTTTATGTGCTAAATCTGGACTAAAGTAGGACTAGGCCAAGACTAAAGCTGGACTAGACTTGTGGTATTTCGCTGACCCATTCTTCAGACTTTAATCAAGACTAACCACTAGACCACTTTAAATGAACTCCCATGGATTTATAATGCTTATATAAAAGTTAAACAAAATAAAATGCTTACTAGGTTTGGACTGAAACTGAAATTTGATATTAAAGCAGGACTAATCTTGAACTAAACCTGCCCTGGACGACTTGTACCTGGCCCGTTTAGTCAGACTCGCTCAAAACTAAACCACGTTGACAAATAATCGAAATCCCGTGTAATTATAACGGATTGAAATGTGCTACTACTATGTAAGAGCAGACCTTACCTTAAAGATGAACTAAACCAGGTCTTAACCAGGTCTAATCTTGGTCTAAACCTGGATTTAACAAGGACTGAAAAGAGAACCACCTCAGTTTGAGAACCATTGCACGTCAAATCGCAAACATTTCACTGGACAGGCTTAACGTTGGTGTCTTTTACATGCCCCTGAATGCATTTTAGTTATGGCTTTATAACTTTCTAAAGAAATGCTGTAAGAATACTGTGAATTCAACTGCTGAGCGTGCTAACGGGGAGAAACGAACTGGACTAAGCTTGTGCGTTGGCTTGTTTGGAGACCGGAATGACCTTTAATGACCTTAGCGTTGAAAGCGGCACTGTTGAAGCGGTCCCAAGAGGAGGAGGGAGAGGTGGGGGTTGGGCGAGCGGAGGTAGAAATGCCGGGGAGGGGACGGGAGGGAACGAGCCTGGCGAGTTTAAAAGTAAAAACCCAAGATTGCATGCAGTCACGCTCCACAAACCGACCGTAATATGGACGACGTTGGTTTCGGCCATTGTGGGTTTGTTGTTACAGTGACGGGAAGCGGCGTGTGAAAGGGTTGCATTGAAGTTTAAGAAGTCGACCCGAAAAGAAGTGAAATTTGAACTTAAAATGACCCAGTGTTGTAACAGGCTCGCGATTATTCATGCCGTTTTTACTGCTCAAACATGAATTGAATTGTGAAATGAAGACGCTTTTCTTCTTTCTTTCTACTTCAGAATTTCAAGATACGTCAATTTACGCAGATTTGAAATGAAATGGAAAAATGTTTAGGATGGTGCAATGAGAAAGCAAAAACTTTACTTGGTTTCATATGTAAGTGAAATTGTGATTTATAACATTAGGGATGCACTGATACTGATTTATAACAATTTGTGGATTAATGATGCCATTGTAATCAATGTGAAACCAAGTACAAACTGTTCATATGTGTACAAGAATCGGATTAAAACTGAACCAGGTCCACGTTTTAAATCTGGACTAAAATAAGATTAAGCCATGTCTAAAACTGGACTAGACTTGTCTGACTCATTCTTCAGACTTAATAAAGACTAAACCCGGACTAAACCACTTTAAATGCATTTTATTTTGTTTAACTTTTCATTCTAGGATTGGACTAAAACTGAAATTTGACACTAAAGCAGGACTAATCTGACTTTTGACATTGGTATCGGAACTGGAAAAGTAATTTATAATAATTTGTGAATTAACTATGCCATTATAATCAATGTGAAACCAAGTACAGACTGCTCAATCAAGGATCAGACTAAAACTGAACCAGGTCTATGTGCTAAATCTGGACTAAAGTAGGACTAAAACTGGACTAGATCCATTCTTCAGACTTAATAAAGAATAACACCAGACTAAACCACTTTAAATGAACTCCCATGTAATAGTAATGGTTATATAAACATTAAACAAAATAAAATGCGTGCTCGGATTGGACTAAAACTGAAATTTGATACTAAACCTGGACTAATCTGGAACTAAACCTGCCCTGGACTACTTTTATCTGGCCCTTTTAGTTCTGACTTGTTCAAAAACGAAGCCAAAACTAAACATGAACTGAAATCGTGATTTGTAATATTGGGGATGCACCAATACTGATACTGAAAAAAATTGCTGGATTGGGTATCAGTTCCACGATATCAGTTTTTGGGACCTTTTCTTAGGTGTAAGAAGACTACTTTCAGCTTTTTCTTTTTCCTAGAACGTCAGTGTTTGAACTATTTGTTGTTCCTGAGTTCTGTGAAAGATGAATAACAGTTGCGTAACACAGTTGGAGCTCTTGTGTAATAGGCTAAGAGAGAAAAATAAGTGTCATTTTCCATTCCAACACTCGTATCTGTTCATATCAGGTATCAGCAGACACTTAAAGTCAGTGTCAACATCGGTCTCGGAACTGAAAAAGCTACATCCCTAATTTATATAATGATCTGTGAATTAACTATGCCATTACAATCAATGTGAAAACAAGTACAAACTGTTCAAATGTGTACAAGAATCGGACTAAAACTGAACCAGGTCTATGCTCTAAATCTGAACTAAAGTCGAACTAAGCCAGGACTAAAACTAGACTGGACTTGTCCGACCCATTCTTCAGACTTAATAAAGACTAACCCTAGACTAAACCACGTTAAACGAAAAGTTAAACAAAATAAAATGTGTACTAGGATTGAACTAAAACTGAAATTTAACACTAAACTTGGACTAAAGCAGGACTAATCTGACATTTGACATCGGTATCGGAACTGTAAAAGCTGGATCCCTAACTCATATAATAATATGTGAATTAACTATGCCGTTATAATCAATGTGAAAACAAGTACAAACTGTTGAAACGTGTACTAAAACTGAACCAGGTTTATGTTTTAAATCTGGACTAAAGTTGAACTAAGCCAGGACTAAAACTGGACTAGACTTGTCTGACCCATTCTTCAGATTTAATAAAGACAAACCCCAAATTTAAACCACTTTAAATGAAATGTTAAACAAAATAAAATGCGTACAAGGATTGGAGTAAACTGAAATTTGATACTAAACCTGGACTGAAGCAGGACTAATCTGACATTCGACATCGGTATCGGAACTTATAAAGCTGCATCCCTAATTTATATAATCATTTTTTAATCAACTGTGCCATTATAATCAACGTGAAACCAAGTACAAACAGTTTTTTAACTAGATTTTCATTTTTTGCAGCACCAAAAACAGTCCAATTTCAATTTCAAAGAGCAAATCCGAATTCTTGTCTCTTCGATATTTGTAAATTGAATAGGAGCCCTTAAACCCTTGCCTTGAATGATTTTTTATTTTGTTTCTAGCAGGTTAATCTTTCGGACACCCTCACTATGGCCAAGCCCAGCGTCCGTCTGCTCTTCTGTTATGGTTTAAGTTGAAATAGTAGACGTGGTTTACTTCTCCTCCTCACAGGGGTCAGTGTAGGTTGGTCTCCGCGGCCTGTATAGCCCCATCGGAGTGTGTGGTCTGTGTACTTATGCCTGAACAGGGGATTTTCCATAGAGCAACATGACTATCTGCTGTTGCCCTCGTCGGTCAATGTTATTGGCTATTTTTTGTTTTCTTTTTTACATGTACTGTACATAAAATAAAATATACAAGCAATAATGATGTATGGAGAGGTTTATTTTAATGCAGTGTATTAAGTGTATTTTTGTCTTCACAGAAATGTTATTCCTTGATTTGAATGTTCCAAAGTATGGCATTCAACTTTAGAAGGTGAAAGCCCAAAATGCAAAGTCAGATCTGTGGAGAGGTGACCCCGCTGATTGTAGGAAAGCATGTTGTCATGAAGTACTGAGTCTCACAGAATCAATTTTAACATTTTCTCAGAGTTTAAATGAGTCCAATCTGTTCTAGAGTTAATTGGAATTAGTTTTTGGAAATGTTAATTCAGTAACACTGGACCAAAGTTCTGTTTAACCTCAAAATCAAGAGTTATATTAACGTTTTGAGAGTAAACGGATAACACTTTGTAGGGTTATTCTGATTTAGCAAAAACAACACACAGAGGTGTTTTAATTTTACACTTTATTTTAGTAAATTTAAGATGAAATTATGAACAAAACCGGTTCAAACTGATCTTTAGGGTTAAGGGGAGTTTGAAGTGGTGGGTGGGAGGTGCCAAATTAACACTAAGGGAACATGAATTAACACTAAGGGAAGTTGAATTAACACGAGGGGAAGTTAAATTAACTTCAACCATATCAAGTCTCACAAATAACCTCAACTTGAATCCCCATTTAACTTTCAAATAGTTAGAATAACACTTTTTGTGTTAAAAACAACTGAAATATTTTACCATGAAATTTTAACCCTCCAGTTTTTGCTGTGTAGGGAGATACGTTTAATGCTCTATGGTGGAACATTTCAGGCAAAGCAATAATAATGCCATGGAGAAGTGCAAGCACCAGAAAAGTTACGCAGTGGTTTTTAACAATATGATATACCATGTACTATAATTACTGATACATTTCTTCGCATGGCCAGCTTTTTGTTACGGCAGTGAAAATCCAAGCTGATTTGCAAATAATGGTTGTGGTGCCTTTTGATATTTTGATATTGTTTGTGGCTTCAAAACTGGAGGGGTTGGTGTTAGATTCCAGCTCCTGTCAGTGTAAATTGTTGTGTCCTTTGGCAAGAAACTTAAGCTACGTTTATATGATGACAGTTTGAACAGAAGACGCAAAAGTGGCGTCGCGTGTTCACTTTTTATTCTCCGTTTAGATGAGTGTTTTTGGGAGGAAATCTGCGTGCATACGGTGACGCAAAAGTGTGTGGAATAGGCGAGTTTCATTGTTGACAAAAGCGCGCGTTGCATGCTGGGGATTATTTTGGTCGGCGGCAAGAAACACTAATTCAACATGACGGACGGAGCGAGAAAGCACGTAAAGGGTATTGATCCCGGTTATTTATCCACTCTAACGGCAGAGGACCCAAGATGATTTGACCAGAAATTGGTCATAAGCATCGATGGAGCCAAATCACCCTTTTCAACCCCGACAAAAAGGTGGACCAAACCAAATTTCTGGTCTCGAATCACCAACTACCTGGACAAATATTCACTTTGGCGATATCCACAATGACTTGGTGGAAACTCCTGGGCCATTCACAGCAGAAAAGATGAAAACCTCCAAGAGTCTCGATGTGTTGTTGAACTTGTTGGAGTCCACGGTTTGTTAGGATCTTCTACGTTTGCTCTGCGGATGTTTGAAAGCCGTTTAATTCGCCGTTAGTGGTTCTTTTCACTCGGAATACGAAAAATACATTTTCTTTCTTCCGTGCTTCTATTTGTGCATCCGATAATGCAGCAGGAATTTACCATTATCGGGGATAAATACGCGAGGTTACGCACTGTGTTTGACGCTATCGTGTTTCTTGCCTCTGACCAAAATATTTCCCAGCATGCAACGCGGGCTTTTAATAACAATGATGTCAGCTGAAACTCGCCTATTCGACTGGGTATACTATGCATGCCAAGTTTCTGTGTTCTGTATGTATGTGACGTAAATGCGTACGTGACGTGAGCAGATCTCACCAGAGTTTTGCGTCTTGGGCAGTGTAGACGGAAACACTACGGCCGAGCGTATTCAACTTTTCCACTCTGGAGGGTGGTTTCAGATTTTTGCATTTTTAAGTCCAAAAGTGCCGTCACCGTCTAAACGAAAGGCACTTCAGATAAAATATTTAGTCGTTTTTACCCGCAAGCGTTCTCGTGTAAACAGGCTCTTAGCCCACCCCTGACCTGGTTGAAAGGGTTGTCTGAGGTGGTTGGAGTCACGACTGGCTTAGATCAGCGGTCGCGTTTCTGTCACTCAAAATGTCCTTTTTGTAATACTTTGAGAAGCTTGTAAACTACCATTTAAAGACACACTATGTAACTTTTTCGAAATCTCCTGCATAATTCCACTGAAATAGAAAGTTAAATCCATTTGTCAACTTTGGAACATTCCTGTTTTATGCCATAATATGAAACATTCTAGCCAAAACAGACCAGATAAGAGTTAAATTTGTGGAGATCCAAGCCCACAAAGAGCAGACCACAATTTTTTCAGAGCAATAAGCAACCAAAATTTTAAAACACGCCATTACTTTAGCATATTTCTGGCCAAAACGTTGCATACTGTGGCTTACTACTGGTATTTTTACTGAGGAAGCTGACCTCTTCTAATGGTTTCCTCATGACACTCACCTCTTTTTTACTCTGAATATGCTTTATTTTGTGCTTATCATGTGCCGCAGATTGAGAAAGTGCAGAGTAAATGCTGAGTGGACGTGTAACGGAGTCCTGGCCTCTCCCGGTCTCATGTGTTTGGACCTGAGCAGAGCCAGCTGGTCTCCTGACAACCACGTCTAGATTTCTGCACACGCACACCCTGTCAATTATACACTTAGATTAATGAGTAACACCCAGATATTATACTTACTTAAGGTTTGTTTTGTTTGTTGAGCATGGAGTTTAAAAAGATGACACGCGATTTCAGTATATTACAAGTTATTTTTTAGACTTAGAATTAGACAAACTTTACTGATCCACAAGGGGAATTATTTGGACGCAGGAGCTGACACATCACAATAAATGTAATAACAAAGAGTAAAAATGTAAACGATAATAATAAATTCTAAATAAGTAGCAAAAAAAGAGCAAGAGACATGTAAATGTAAAACGTACAAGTCAAAATAAAATAGAAAGATAAGTAATAAAATATAAAATCACGGCTTTATACAAGAGGTCATAAGGAAGACAGTGCAACAATGATACGATGATTGACAGGACATGGGGTTATCATAGGAAAAGGGTGAGTTGTTCAGTTGTAGGGAGTATTATCTGGTACATAAGGTTGTACAGTTGTAGGGAGTATTATCTGGTACATAAGGTTGTACAGTTGTAGGGAGTATTATCTGGTATATATAATGGTGAGTCTTTCTACAGTTGTAGGGAGTATTATCTGTTACATAAGAGTGAGTTTTGTACATTTGTAGGGAGTATTATCTGTAACAAAGGGTGAGTTGTTGCACATTTGTCGGGAGTATTATCTGTTACATTAGAGTTGTGTACAGTTGTAGGGAGTATTATGTGGTACATAAGGGTGAGTTGTTGCACAGTTGTAGGGAGTATTATCTGGTATATAATGGTGAGTTGTTGTACAGTTGTAGGGAGTATTATCTGGTATATAATGGTGAGTTGTTGTACAGTTGTAGGGAGTATTATGTGGTACATAAGGGTGAGTTGTTGCACAGTTGTAGGGAGTATTATCTGGTATATAAGGTGAGTTGTTGTACAGTTGTAGGGAGTATTATGTGGTACATAAGGGTGAGTTGTTGTACAGTTGTAGGGAGTATTATGTGGTACATAAGGGTGAGTTGTTGTACAGTTGTAGGGAGTATTATCTGTTACATAAGTCTGAGTTGTTGTACAGTTGTAGGGAGTATTATGTGGTACATAAGGGTGAGTTGTTGTACAGTTGTAGGGAGTATTATGTGGTACATAAGGGTGAGTTGTTGTACAGTTGTAGGGAGTATTATCTGGTATATAATGGTGAGTTGTTGTACAGTTGTAGGAGTATTATCTGTTACATAAGGGTGAGTTGTTGTACAGTTGTAGGGAGTATTATCTGTTATATAAGTGAGTTGTACAGTTGTAGGAGTTTATCTGTTACATAAGTCTGAGTTGTTTTACAGTGTAGGGAGTATTATGTGGTACATAAGGGTGAGTTGTTGTACAGTTGTAGGGAGTATTATCTGTATATAATGGTGATCGTTGTACAGTTGTAGGGAGTATTATCTGTTACATAAGTCTGATTGTTGTCCAGTTGTAGGGAGTATTATGTGGTACATAAGGGTGAGTCGTTGTACAGTTGTAGGGAGTATTATGTGGTACATAAGGGTGAGTCGTTGTACAGTTGTAGGGAGTATTATAGTATGATTGTAGTCCTGTATCTCTCACTGTTTGAGCAGAGCTGTAGGAGCCTGTTGGAGAATGATTCCATATTCAAGTGTGACCTTATGCAGTTTTCATAAAATATTACATTAACGTCAACATTTTTTTATTTACCATGGCTGCCACCATCGTGATTCAGGTTATATTATTTTGCTGGGGGCTCCTGATCTGGACAAATAAGTCCTATATTACACAAAAGTATCTCTTATGAGCTTTAAACCACAATAGAATGTTGTTGCCTGTTACGACCCAGCTCGTTTGGGTGAGGGAAGTAACAAAAATAAAACCAAGATGTAAAATGGAATAAATTAAATAATGTTTAATTAACAGGAATGTAAAGGTAAATTAACAAAAGACTAAAAATATACAGAAAACAACCTAAACTAAGAAACAGAACAACAGAATAAACTGAGTTTTGTGCCAGAAAAGGGGTCACGCAGGCTTACACAAAAACGAGTGGTAAAACTTAGGGACACACACTAAACTAAAACACAAGTTCCCCAAATTAAACCACATAAACCCACAAACAGAATCGAGTGACCAAATCAAAAAAGGCACAAAACTACACACACACACACACACACACACACACACACACACACACACAACACACACACACACTTTATTATTAGTCTAAAATAGGGGGAGTGGCTGCACGTCGACTTGC